GCTAACGGGTGTGGGGTTTCTTTCTGGGATGATTTTGGTCATGGCTGAAGAACACTGCACATTTACTAAAGCCTTTGAGTTGTACACCTTATATGGATGAATTTTATGGTATGTGAATTAAACCTCTGCAAAAGCACTAAGAAAGCATAAACTGCAATGAACAGCTTTGCATGTCTTTCTATGCATATATATAATGTCACACACACCAGCTGTGAGCATTGCTGGGTCAAACATACCTGCAGTTCAGTTCAGCTCAGTCAGTCAAGTCCGACTGTTTGCGACCCCATGGACTGCAGCATGCCAGGCCTCCCTGTCCATCACCAACTCCTGGAATTTACTCAAATTCATGTCTATTGAGTCACTGATGCCATCCAACTATCTCATCCTCTGTCATCCCCTTCTCCTCCTGCCTTCAATCTTTCCCAGCATCAGGGCCTGTTCAAATGAGTCAGTTCTTTACATCAGGTGGCCAAAGTATTGGAGTTTCAGCTTCAGCATCAGTCCTTCCAATGAATATTCAGAACTGATCTCCTTTAGGATGGACTGGTTAGATCTCCTTGAAGTCCAAGGGACTCTCAAGTGTCTTCTCCAACACCACAGTTCAAAAGCATCAATTCTTCGGTGCTCAGCTTTCTTTACAGTCCAACTCTCTAACAGTCCAGTAGATACATGACTACTGGAAAAACCATAGCTTTGACTAGAGGGACCTTTGTTGGCAAAGTAATGTCTCTGATTTTTAATAAGCTGTCTAGGCTGGTCATAACTTTTCTTCCAAGGAGCAAGTGTCTTTTGATTTCATGGCTGCAGTCACTGGTTTTATGAGTAAAATCACTTCTCAAATATTTCTAAGAATAGTTATTAGAGATCTGGAACTTCTATTATTTGAGTTATCTTGTTTTTCACATTTCCGTTATCTTGGTCTCTCCCATTTGTTGCAGACTCTTCTGAAAAGGATGTCACAGAAGAGTCGCCTCTACATACAGTAACCTCCTTATCTGCAGTGTAACTTTCTGTAGTTTTAGCTACTTGCAGTTAATTAGTCTAAAAATATTAAATGGAAAATTCCAGAAATAAGAATAAGTTTAAAATTGCATGCCATTTGACTAACGTGATGAAATCTCACGCAGTCCACTCCATCCTGCCCAGAATGTGAATCATCCCTTTGTTAACTGTAACCTGCCTACTAGTCACTTAGTAGCCATCTCTTATCAGATTGACTATTGCAGTTTCACAACAGTCAAATGATCTTTATTTTACTTTATAATGGCCCCAAGGCACCAGAGTAGTGATGCTGGCAATTTGCACATGCCAAAGAGAAGCTGTAAAGTTCTTAAGTGAAAAGGTGGAAGTTCTAGACTTAACAAAGAAAGGAAAAAAAAAATCATATGCTTAGGTTGCTAAGATCTATGGTAAGAATGAATCTTCCATTTATAAAACTGTGCACAAGGTACAAAGAAATTTGCTGTCACATCTCAAACTGCAAAAGTTTACGGCCACAGTGCATGCTAAGTGCTTAAGACGGAAAAGGCATTAATTTGTACAGTAAGATATTTTGAGAGAGAAAGACCATGTTTACATAGTTTGTATTCCAGGATAGTATTGTAATCGTTCTATTTTATTATTAGCTATTATTAATCTTACTATGCCTAATTTATATATTAGACTTTACCTCAGGTTGTGTATTTGCAGTGGAAAAAAGCATAGTATTGGGATGACCAAAAAATTCATTTGGGTTCTTCCATAAGACATTATGTAGAAACCTAAAGGAACTTTTTGGCCAACCCAATATATATAGGGCCCCATATCATTTATGCTTTCAGTCATCCACTGCGGGTGTTGAAAGGTGCCCCCCAGGGATAAAGGGGTCTACTGTACATGGATGGTGTTTGCTGTTTATCAGGACTGGCTTTCAGTTAGGGGCTAGGAAATGATGTCACGTGTTGGCAACCAAAATACCAGAAGGCAGAGAAGTTTGCTATAGGTGCTATGTCATGGGGCTGGCCACCAAATATTGTCAGGTCTCTCTCTGGAATCTTGGTAGGCATGCACTTCCTTGACCTCTTAAAATTATGTGACCATGTAACTTATTTTGACCCTTAAAATGTGAGTGACAGTCATGTGTGTAACAGTATCAGGACCTGCTCTACTGTGTTCCCTTTTTCCTCCAAGGGTAACTGTGGCAGTGTGTGTTTTGCTTGTTTGCTTATTTACTAGATCTAAACCAAATCTATTTATTCTGATTCAAACAACATATGAACATCCACTTGATACGAGCTTGCTCTCCCTAGACCTTTCAATAAGTTCCTGCTCATTCCTTTTAAGTTGATCATGAGAGGCCAAAGAGATAAACCTGTGTTCAACCAGCCATCCTAGAGGGAAAGTTTAGTGGAGTCGTTGAATCTTGATAGCAAATATTTTGGCATTGTTACTAAAGATCCAGTCTTGGATGCCTACAAATAAATGTTTGATGCTTAGGAAGACTTCACAGATGTTAACATAGTCCAGTATGAGTCGTCTACTTCTTGTGCCCTGAGCCTCCTTGATTCCCAGGAAGGATGATTTCTTGAACCAGGTGGGGGTATGGTCCTCCAGGTGATCCTCTCCAACCACCTCTCACTTATGGGCAGCAGCACAACTTGCAGGCACAGCCCCTCCACTTTCCAGTCCTTTCAGTGTGGTGTTGTTGTATAGTCGCTGAGTCGAGTCTGACTCTTTGTGATCCCATAGACTGTAGGCAACCAGACCCCTCTGTACATGGGATTTCCCAGGCAAGGATACTGGAGTGGGTTGCCATTTCTTTCCCCAGGAGATCTTCCCAATCCAGGGATCGAACCCACGTCTCGTGCATTCTTTACCACTGAGCCTCATAGTATGATATAAGGTTTTTTTTTTTTTTAATTAAAAACAGTTTTTGCTTCAGTAATGAAAAAAAAAAACATCTTTGAGGATCACAGAAATGGATTTTATATCACAAATCTCTCTTAGAGAAAAGTATTCCTTCTTGAGGAGTTTGAAGACTCATTGGATTCCAGGCATAGAAGATAGTGAAGTGTCAAAAATGAACAAAAAATTGTTCAGGGTTGGTGGTGATTAAAACCTTTTTTGGAGAAATTTCCACTTAAATCATTAAACTGACCTGGTAACAGGATCTCCGAAAATTGCTGCTGTTATATGGACTTTTCCTATTTTGTGCCTGACAAATCTTGGTGTTAGCATCACCAGCAGAACCAAAGGCAACAGGACATATTTGCTGAGGTCCAAATCAGGTAAATTTTTACATTCCACAGCAAGGGGCATCTGCACTAAGTGTGTGCTCACCATGCCTATTTTTAAGCTTAGATTTGGCCCATGTAGCAACACTGAAAAGGCACCTGTTTCCTCTCCTTTCTCAAGCACCCTAGTGGGCAGGGGCTGATGGGGAGTAAAGAGCTCAGGGCAGACACACAATGCAGTTGTGTCTGAATAAAGGTAATCACTGAATAATGGGGCAGGACATTGCTGTGCTTGGGCTCTGCTAACCTTTCTTTCTAAGATGAGCTTCTCTGCTCATGACATGGAGTAATGAAACAATGAAAGAGAAAATCCCTGAAGTGAAAAGGAGGGCCTCTGTCCACAAATCAAGGAAACCATCTCTCATGCACTGTCCCCGACAAAGCCCAAAGCCCATCCCAAGGTTGGCATGAAGAGTGATCAGCAAGGGAAATAGTCCCATCACCAAGCCCCAAAACACCTTGTCATCCCTCATACCAGATGTCCCCCTTAGGCAGATGCCAGATATCACTCTGTTGATGGTGTGAAAGGGGGGGTGGTTTACTCCAGGAATTCACAAGATAGAGTCACACTCTAGGGAAGATAGCAAGACTATCTTTAAAATAATTTTCCATTCTAGTCTTTGCCATTAAGCGGGAGAAATCCAGTTAGAGGGACACAATTTGGTGTCATGAGGAAGCCATGGATAAAAGTTAATACTGTTGCCATCATTCTAGGAGAACATATAATTTTTGCCATAAGGACAAGTAGTCAGGAGGAACTTCAAAATGATGTTGACCTTAAAATGATGTTGATCTTAAACCTGCCTCAAATTTTCTGAATAATTAATATTACCAGGCTATAAGCATATTTCCCTGCAAAATACCTTTTGTCTGAACTTCACATGTAGATGATTTAGAGCCTATTTTTCCCTTGTTACAGGTTTCAGCAGCATTAACTCTCTTTGGAAGAAAACCAATGAGTCGATTAGGTGCCATGATGGAATATAGGTAATACCCTGGCTACGTGGACTGGGACAGTTTCAAAAGATTGTATCAAACATGTACAAAAAATAATAATAATAAAAGGTGTTTTTTTTCTTTTGGGAGGGGTAATAATCTTTAAAAATGCATGGGGAGGCATTTGGGTAAGTTTCTAGTTTTTGCTGTTTACAAAAGTTGTTTATATTACTGTCTTTATGTTTATTCCTAATGGTTTCTCTGGTTCCAGTTGAAAATGATTTGGGAAGCCCAGGAGTCTGGCTAATATTCTGGCTCAGTTCTCAGAATGTGAGGTCAGTGAAGGTGGGCTGAACAGGGCCATGGCCTTTATCTCCAGCACGAAGACCAGGAGGGTCTTGTCAAGTGTCCTCTGCCTTTTGGGAAGCCCAGCTGTGTAATACGGAACCTTCTATTCTCTGGCAAACCTTAGCATTTTCTGCCAAAGTGCCAGGTGAGGCTGAGGAGAGTGAAGACCTGTCCCCAGCATAGTGACATGTGTTTCTGTACGGCCCTTAATCTGATTAATCTTTACCTTTTATAGACTTAGGGTTGGTTTTATTCTACAGCTTTTCTTTTAGGTCATCAGTCTTATACATCAATTACACATAAACGATATGTGTTTATCCACGGCTTCATACATGACTCACTCCCACTGACTCTACTCAGCAAACATTCAGGCACATAAGCGAGGTAAGAGCCCCACACCAGGCATATCACCACTAGTTCTGCTTGGAATAGCTGGAATCTTACATGAGAAACACCTGGGAACGGCCTTTGCCATCACACATGTGGACACTTTGGTACAAAGACTACTCCTGACTGAGAAAAAGAAATACATGGTAATTGGTTTACATGCACATTGCAGGAACTGATAATATAGTTCTTAGTCAGTGCAGAGAAGTGGCCTGTGTCACCATCACACAGTGGTAAATTTCCCCGTGGAACCTCCACACCCCACACCTAGACACTGAAGCTCAGAACCTGGCATGAGGCCCAGGTTCTAAAGGTAATATTGAACAAATGTGTGACATGTAGATCTATCCACACTCAATAGGGATAGATCACATCACTCTCCTTTTTAAGAACTGATAATTTGAGAAGGCTCTCTTCAAGAACACAGTGCAAAGAGATTCAGAGCCCGTGGGGCATCATGGCCAGCTCTTGGTGGGGACTTGAGTTCAGAGATGTCCTGGACTGGGTGTCCATGGACATCAGTCACCTTTCAAGTGTCAAGGAGCAGAATGGAATAATTTGAAAATGACAATTTAATGAATGAAGTGAAAGCATCCTATCAAGAACTTTCAAGTTTCTAAATCAAAAAAAGCTCAGCTGTTTCAACTCAATCCAAGGTTTGTGCATTCTGAAGCCCATCCATCAAAAAAGTAATATGATAGCCAATTCAAGGGGATTCCCCTAAAGTCAAGTGGCCCAAGACCTCATCTGTTCAAAGTTGGAAGGCAAGAGGCCAGAGAGCAATAAAACACTCAGCTCAGGATACTGCACTGGGACCTCTCCAGGACACCCGAGGGGGGAATCTGGGGGCGTGGACACTCTCCTGTGTAGGTCTGTTCGGGGTCCTCAGCTCAAGTATGTGGGTTAAGGGCCCAGAAGAGTTCAGGCAAGTGTCAGGACTTCATATAATTGGGCAAAAATCCTGCATTTGATTCTGCTTTATCTTTTGGGTATGGTATTTTCTTTGATATTCACCCTCAGGGTGATAAGGCATTCCTCCTCTCTCCTGTCTTTAGAGTTGGGCAGAGATGAAAGTTACCTTTGTATCTAAACTGACAGGATTCTGAATTCATCCAGCCGCCTTTGGAGTCACCTAGATGTTACACGACCTGGAGGCTTTATACCATTTCTAAGCTGGGTTTTTCCTGCAACCTGAAATGTCCTTCCCAGACCCCCACTGTCATTGAATTCCTACTTATCCTTCAGGCTGTGGGGGCCACCCTCATCTGTCTGCAGGGCTGGGCGAGGAGCCCCACTAGGACTTAGGGCCCCATGGTACCCCTAGAGCTGAGTGGAGCCCCCTCCACCTCACATGTGGGCTCAAGCTGTTTGCCCGAGGGTCCCCTCCCTTGACTGTGACCTGAGTTGGTCAGTGACAGTTAACTTTTATTTCTGCAACTCAAGCTTAAAATGCAGCAGTGCTGGGCGAATGTTCATAGGGTTCATGGGCTCACAGGTGACTGTGTGCAGTATCTCTCACACGTGCATTCCAGAACATCAGACCTGGATTACAGGTTTGTGTCTGATGAAATTTGAATTAGATAGCGACTCATTCATGTGTGAACGAGCATTCTACACACATCTTCGATAAACAGAATCCACACTGACATGAGCTGATGCTCACAGACCCAATCCCTAGGATTTGTTAAAGACAGCTTTAGACTTCAAAACGAAGGTGTAACATTTGGCAAGCATTCAGGACAGAACTTTTAGAGGTGGGTGAAGCTAACTGAGCTTATCTTTCTCTGAAGGTTTGCTAAGACTAGTGAAGGAGCACTAAGTCGCATGTCAGGGTGGGGACCACTCTCCTCCAGAGGCTTCCAGTCCCCCTGCCTTCTGCGTGTACAGGGGGCCAGGCAAGGCTGGGGTGGAGAACGGGGGAAGCAGAGAAGGACGCTGCTGTCATAGGAGGAATGGATGTGCTCGTGCCAAGACCAAAGGCCAACAAGTGCATTAGAGCCTGGGGGAAAAGACAGTGCTTTTGTCCTGATCTAAGCGCTCTTGAGGTTGGCAGCTCTATGGCGCATAGTGGACATTTACAAAGGAGTATGGTGGAACCTTCCTTAGGGTGCTAAGAACTGCCTAGGGGCAGAAGTGGGCACAGCTGTGTGCTTGACTGCCTTCCACAGAATGGAGCAACTTCAGTCAGTTCAGCTTACTGGAGCTCAGCACAACATTCAGTTTATAAACATAAAGGGCTCTAACATTGACTTTAAAAAGTCTGTGATAAACACTTGCCAGCTACTGAGGTCTGTTCTTAAGCAGCCTTGCTGCTCAGGTGCAGCAGGAGGCAAGGTCAGTGTCGTGGCAAGCTGGAGCTGGAGTCCAAACAGGGAAAGTGGCATCAGACAAAACTGAGAGCGGATGTCCCCAAAGGTGCGGAGCACTGCTGTCCGAGAGAACTTCCTACAAGGAAGGGGCACTTCTCTCTCTGTGACATTCATCACGGGAGCCCCCTGTCACACATGGCAACGGGGCACTGAAATGTGGCTCACGGGACTGAGGACTGAAGTTTTATGTTGGTTCAATTTAAACTAATTATATTTAAAATCTGAACGGACATCGGTGGGCTGTGGCAACTGCGCTGGATGGTGCAGCTTTGGGGGGCGCCACCCCCACACCGATTCGTTTCAGCGGCAGCTTCTTTGGCTTTCATCAGAGCTGGGCAGGAAGCAGAGGTTCCCTCAAGCTGCCTGTCCCACAGCCTGGGCACCCATCTTCAAAGTCCGGAAACCAGCCCTCACCGAGCCGAAGCGTAATTCTCACTTGTGTGCGGCTCTGGTGTGGCTGTCAGGATTCTGCAGTGTCTATGCAGCAGGAGCCCTTTCTGTGAGGCGTCTAGAAGCAGGCTTTGCTCCAGACCAGGGCTCCTGTCCCCACAGAGAAAGGGGGCCGTGCACGGATTCTCCTCTCCGCTCGCTCTGTGGGACAGGGGGAAAAACTGTGATCCTGTCCCCGAAACACCTCCATCCAAAGCAGCTCTGGGAATTAGAAGTTTCTCAGCTCCACTCCGGAGAAGGCAATGGCACCCCACTCCAGTACTCTTGCCTGGAAAATCCCATGGACAGAGGAGCCTGGTGGGCTGCGGTCCATGGGGTCACGAAGAGTCGGACACGACTGAGCAACTTCACTTTCACTTTTCACTTTCATGCATTGGAGAAGGAAATGGCAGCCCACTCCAGTGTTCTTGCCTGGAGAATCCCAGGGACAGGGGAGCCTGGTGGGCTGCCGTCTATGGGGTTGCACAGAGTCAGACACGACTGAAGCGACTTAGCAGCAGCAGCAGCAGCAGCTCCACTCAGTGAGTTATCCTGGTGCCGTCATCCTCGGCGGTGTCGGGGAAAGGGACACTCACTCACCCTCCGGGTGACTTGCCTGCCTCGTAGTCCTCTCGTTGAGAGGGTGCCAAGCAGCTTCTTCCCTGGACATTGTAAGTTGGCAGCCACCAGGCGGACGATCAGAAACTCTCCCACCTCTGGGCAAGGCAGCCCACAGGCTGTGAGGATGGTTCCAGTGGAAAGACTGTGCCACCCACCAGCTGAACCCTGCGACCTCTCCAGGCCTGGGGAGGGGGCCGGGCTACATTTGGATCGCAGGAGTCACAGGGACTCTGCAGTCCCAGCCAGCAGCCGCATCGCAGACGCCCCAGAACATGGGGCTTCAGGCATGTTTAGGGATGTGTGTAAATGCTATCCTTTTACTGACAGAAAATTCAGACAGAGAAGAACCTCATCATTTTACATCGGTAAAAACAATGTGGCCAAGTGTCTTTGTTGTTGCCTTTATATGCGGGACAGACAGACAAGCTGGCAGACGCTGTGAGGGGGGGCGGGAAGGGGGTAAGGCTGGTGGGACAGCGGGCCACTGCATGAGAACGGACCTCAGGGGCCAAACTCAGCACTGGGGCAGACTACCCACGTCAAAGAACCTAAAGAAACTAAATTGCAGGGTGCCCTAAATACTACTGTGGGTGCATGCTCAGTCACTCAGTTGTGTCCAATATTTTGCAACTCCGTGGACTATAGTCCGCCAAGCTTCTAAGCTCCTCTGTCTATGGTGATTCTCCAGGTAAGAATAATACTGGAGTGGATTGCCATTTCCTTCTCCAGGGGAATCTTCCCAACCCAGGGATCGAACCTGTGTCTCTTGCGCCTCCTGCAATGGCAGGCAGACTCTTTACTGCTGGGCCACCTGGGAAGCCCCCCAACTAGTCCTTACATGTAAGATGCAGGGAGGGCAAGTGATCATTGACTTTGGGCAAGAGAGTATCCAGTAAGATTGACTCTGGAGCAATAAAATACACAGCACTTGTAGGCTGTCCGGTTGCCGCAGCAACACCTTGGGGCCCGTGTGCACCTGTCCGCTCTCAGTGGCCAGGGTCACCTTTCCCGAGGCCTGAGCTCACCTGTGCCCCGAGTGTGGCTGAAGTCGCCCTTGACCACGCGGCAGGTCTTGCCGTCCCCGCTGCAGACCCCACACCGGTCTTCTTTGGCCGCAGACCCGATGATGCCATCACAGCCGATTTTCTAAACAAGCAGAGTGCTGGGTTATTGTCAGTGTAGCACTCAGAGGCACACCCTGCAGGGCTGACTCTCTGTGAGGCCCAGCAGGCTGGCACAGGAGGGCTCACAACACCTCCAGAGGCCCAAGCAAATATTTTAAAACCAGGAGAGAAAAAGAATACAATTCAGCTTGTGTTACATTTGCCCTTACACCACATAGTCATCAAATACATGTGCTAGTATCTGTTATGGAGGAGGGATCTGTGAAGGCCCAGGTGCCTGGAACACACTGGGGCCCAGGCCAGGTCCTCCCAGAGCCGCCCCAGGTGGGGCCATGGGGAGAAGGGAAGCCAGCTCCCATACCTCCCAGCATATCCGCAGTTTCACACAACCCATATTCCCCTTGGAGCTGTATGAATCTGTGATCCCATCTCGGTTGGAATAGCCAACAGTCTCAGAAGGCATGGCAGAGACCATAGTGACTTTTCTGCTGGGGTTGGGAAGCCCAGAGCTCACTCGGGCTGGCTGGGTGTGAGCCCCTTAGTCCTCAGTCAGGGGGATTTAGCCCAAGAAGATACCCTGCTGCTCAAATTTTTCCAAGGAGGCCTGTCTTGGAGGGCAGAGAAGGGTCACCCTGACCCTGGCTGGCCCCAGGGAAGCATAGTCAGTTCATAAAAAGTGGGAAAAGGTTGTGAATTCCTGTTTCTCCTTAAAAAAAAAATTCATGAGACTTTTATGGGCTACAAAATAACATACCTGAGTTTATGTTACAGTAAACACTGGTGTGGTTAATTATTTGCTAGTTAAATTGCTAAAATGCTTCTCCCTTGGAGTAAAGAATTCCAGAACAAGAACTGGGTCTCCACTGCCCTGCACCCTGCATCAGGCCAGGAAGCGTTCTACATCCAGATAAGCCAGGCCCAGGGACTGTACCCCTTCCTCCCTCCATGTCCCCGCTCCCACGGTGGGTGGGAGGGGTGCAGGGAATGGAGCCAGCCACACCGCAAACCTCCTGGAGGCGAAGTCTTGGCCACGCAGCTCACCGACTGAACCAGAACCCTCTGTTTCATAAGGGCAGTGATTCTGCAACATCAAGGTATACCTGCCTCACCAGGAGGGCCACGAAAACACAGATGCAGGACCCACTCCCAGAGTTTCTGATCCAGCAGGGCTGAATGGACATGAGTATCTCTATTTCTGTGAAGTTGCCAGGTGCTGCTGCGGCTGCTGGCTGGGACCACACTCAGAGAACCCTGGCACCGTGGCATGCTACATGAAGCGCAAATGAATCTTCATACTGAACAGTTGTGGAGTCTCACCCTTGGATGCTCCTGTTTCTTTGGGAAAGAATTAGTGAGAACTTACTATCATGTGTCCGAAAATGATATCGTCACTGAATGTATTTCAGTGAAGACTTGAAGATAGGCTAAGGGCAAAGCAAACTTGGTCCTCAAATGAAAGAAAACTGAAAATGGGCAACATTTTTTAAAAAGAAACTCCAATGTGTCCAAAGTTAGTATAAAAACAGCTGGAGGGCAAGAAGATCAGGGGCTTTGGCTGCCAGAGACCCGGCGAGGCATGAACAGAGAGAGTGAATGAAGGGGTGAATTAGTGACAAATGGAGACCCAGACTGGTAAGCAGCATTGACTGTCACACCTTGCCAGGGCAGACCACCCCATGTGACCTGGAGGGAGGCGAGCTGGACCGTGTGGCAGGAGCTGCCTAGGTTCATGATCTGGACTGCTGGCTAATTCCTGGGAAGACGCTTAATATAAAATTACAGGCAGTAGGAACACAAGAGCCAAGATCCAAAGTTCTCCTCAACTGGCAGCCTCTGCAAGTGCCCTGCGGTCACATCTGTGTGTCACATGTGCACTGCCCAATTTCATGTCTCCTGGCCCAGTTTCATGTCTCCTGTCCCAGAGGCCAACGTCCCAGTCCCCAGCCTGTTTCCAGTACTGCCACAGGGCCAGGACCCCCGAGCTGGCCCTGCACCCTGACCTTTCCCCACGTGGCTTCTCCATCTCCCAGGTACTCTCAGCTCTAGACTCCTCTCGCATTGGTTTTCTATTACTCTTTTAATCACACTGCGGCTCAGCAATAGTGGGTCTCTGATTTGAGCAGGTACCACTGATATCTCAGTCAGGGTGCCTAGATAAAAGTTTTCTAGATACTCTAAGCTAACAGCCCTCTTGGTCTAGACGGCTTTCCCTAGCCCAGCGAAGGCAGCTGACAAACCTAGGGCCAGGAGCAGTCCTTCACCTCCTGGCCCCAGGCTGGCTGGGTAACCCTGGCGTCCCCAGCCTGGGACTGAGGTCACCGTAAGGCCTTCTGGACAACGTCAGGCCTCTCCCCAAAGCGTGCTGGGTTTGTGAGAATTTTGAAATGCTCAGAATAGGGAAGCTGAAAGAACACCAGAAACACTACCTTTGGGAAAAGGAGATGGGGGGGGAGAATCCATGCTGGAATTTCAAGAGGCTACTTGTTGTCTGGCTGAGATCGTGTATGTGTATGTTTGTGTGTGCACACGCGCGCATATGGGCTCAATCGTTCAGGCTCCTCTGTCCATGGGTTTTCCTGGTAAGACACGGCTAGGAGGCGAAGTCTGCCTTTGAAATCTGCCAGACTAAGAATTCACCTGGATGCAAGACAGACAGGCACGGGAGGAGCTTCCGGGAGGAGCAGGACAAGGGACTCGCTGGGAAGGAGGGCACTGTTCTCCTGGATGAGCAAACCGCCTTCCCGCCCAAGAGTCCCCGACAGAAGGAAGTTGGTGGGGAGAAGAAAGTGAGAATGGGGAAGGGCAGTAGTGCAAGTGAACGCTCGCAAAGGCCCTGCATAGCCAGACCAGCACCAGCTGTCCTTGGGGCCCCCACCCCCAACAGGAGACACTGCCGCTCCAGACAAGCAGAGGCAGGCAGGGGGGTCCACGGTCTCTCATCACTGTGACTCTCACCATTGCTCCTAAAACATAACGTAAAGAATGTGTGCATGCTTGCTCTGTAGCAGGCCCCCACCGACACTGAGTTAGACCTCATGGGATCTAACGGTTAAGAATATGCAATGTTTGGAATTGATTTCCTTTCTTTCAGGGATGAAGTCACCATCAGTTGGGGGTCTGGTGAGAGGAGACTGTCCACGGGACTGCGGGGTGCACAGCAGCTTTGAGACACTTGGGTATGGGTATGCTTGGACTGCAAGGAGCCAGCCCTTGCCTCTTTTCTGAGAGTCCAGGTTATTCACAGGTAAGTCCAGGGGCCCACTATCAGCATCTATTTCTCTTGGGAGGTGTTGTACTATCCTTTCCAAAACATGAGCCCCCTGCTTATTTTCTCATTGGGGTGATGACTCTTGAGGGCTGAAATTAGTCTACCAAGATGGTATGCCCTTCCATACAATCCTCACACAGCACCTGCTAAAGGAACACGACCTCCTGGTCCGACCAGCTGTGGTCAATGTCCAGAACAGAGAGATGACCTCCTGGGCCCAGGAACACAAGCTAGCCAGGGGTGGCACGTTCTAAACTCCAGCACGCTGCAGCCACCTGGAGGCCTGGGTAGGTCACCTGTTGCCCAAGGATTTGTGTTGCTGAATTCCCAGGTGAGGCTGCAGGCCCAGGGCCTTGTGGAAGACCACTAGGCTAGCTTTAGAGCTCAGAGAGGGACCTCCTTGGAGACAGCCACTGCGGAGAGACCCCAGCCCTGTGTCCTGAAGAAGTGCCCCTTCCTGTCGGGAAAGGTCCCATGTCTGGAGCTCCCCCTGCAGCTGTGCCCCTGAGCCAAAGCAGTTCTGGGCTGAGGACCCCTCGACGGATGTGGGAGCCTCCCACTGCTTTCAGAAATGGGGCGCACTTACAGTGGTGTTCAGGTCAAGTAAAGAACCTACAGGAAGCGCTGTCATGACAGAACGTCTGGTTATAAACCCCAAAACGCCTTCAGTGAGGGCCTCACAGATCACCTGGATGCTGGTTTATGGCTGTTCAGAACTTCCAACTCACAGGTCTCCACCCCGGACACAGAGACCCAGATCTGGAAACTTCAACAGCCTTGTTCATGGGACTCACAGTATCTTACGTGTTAAACTGTCAAAGGCTGGATACAGGGGGAGGGTTCTCTGTTATTTTCTCTTCTTCCCTTACCCAGCATTCTGTTTTAATCTTAAAAACTGGCTTCTTTTGCTAAAACATCACCTCTCAGAACAGAAGTGTCCTCAGACACGACTTCAAGTTGTAGCCAGCTGGCTTCCGGATTAGGGCAAAGCAACCCGGTGGGTGGGTGGTCAGCTTCTCTTCTGAAAATGCTGTGCTAATGTTGATCGTGAACTGAGGAGAGTTACACATTTGGACATGAGCCTCAGTTTCCCCATTCTAAAAATGAGAGTATCACCCTCAGTCCCTGAGGGTTGCTGCAAAAATGACCTCTGCTCTGGTTGGAGAAACCCAAGCTCACTTCTCAGGCCTGGGTGAGAGGTGGGCCCTGTCTGGATGGATGGAGCCTGACCCTAGGCCACCACCTGCCTTCTAAGGGGCTAGGGACAAGCTCCCCCTCCTCCGATCTGATCAGAGCAGGGCTCAACAGGTAATTGTCATCTCTCTCTTTTCTGCCACAGACTCCCTCCTCTCCAGAAAAGGCAGAGGGCAAGGAGAAGGCACGCAGGACCGCATCCTCCCTCTCGGGGGTGAGGCACTCGAGCCATGTGCAGAGGCCCACGTGCAGGCAGGCTCTCCTGTGATGTTAAGTAGCCCCACCTACAGCAGGTCATGGTCTGTTCCCGTGGGCTTCTCAGGTCAGGTACAAACAGAGATGCGTGCAGGGTCACCCTGTAAGTTAATTCTTCGGGGCACTCAGGGGCTGGGACAGTTTTGCACGCTGTGCTCTCTGCCTGGTATTATTTTGGATGACAACTGCATTTAAAGGCAGGGCATGCAGGGCATGCATGTGTCTGAACAGCAGTGAGCCTGAAAACCAAGGAGCAAAAGCCAAACTAATCTGCCAACAGCAGTGTTTTCTCCCTCTGCTACAGA